GCACGAAGTGGCCTACAGTTGGCTCCGGGCATTCAAAATGTGGCCCGGGAATGGAGTTCTGGGGACTCGAAGACCACGAAGTGGCCTACAGTTGGCTCCGGGCATTCAAAATGTGGCCCGGGAATGGAGTTCTGGGCACTCGAAGAGCACGAAGTGGCCTACAGTTGGCTCCGGGCATTCAAAATGTGGCCCGGGAATGGAGTTCTGGGAGGTCGAAGAGCACGAAGTGTGTGACTGTTGCATCCGGTTATTCAGAATGTGGCCTGGGAATGGGGTTCTGAGAGGTCGACGAGCACGAAGTGTGTGACTGTTGGTGAAAAAACGAGCCCGGCACAGGCCCGGCCGGCAACTCCCAACACCTGCCCGGACCCCCCTGTGGAGTGATCTGCTGCTCTCTTTTGATCCCACTAGAAACCTATCAGTCTTCGCTGTTAGGTAATATGCCAAGTTCGAATAGGCTTAACCCACATATGTCTAGCTAGAAAACGGCCTAACTTAAATAGGCCTAACTGACATAGGCCGAACTGAACTAAGCCGAACTAAAATGGCCCAACTAAAACAGGGCCAACAAAAAAGGGCCTAACTAAAGTAACCCTAGTTAGAACAGGCCTAACTAAAATAGGCCTAACTAAAATAGGCCTACACAAAATAAGCCTAACAAAAATAGGCCTAACGAACATAGGCCGAACTAAAATATGCCTAACTAAAATAGGCCTAATCAACATAGGCCTAACCAAAATAGGCCTAACTAAAACAGGCCTAACCAAAATAGGCAAAATTGACACAGGTCCAACAAAATTGGGCCGAACTAAAATCTTCCGAAACCTTCGACGCCTAATCAAAATAGGCCGGACTAAAAGAGGCCTAAGTAAAATAAGCCTAACTAGAATAGGCCTGTCTCAAATAGGCCGAACTAAAATAGGCCTAACAAAAATAGGTCGAATTGAAATAGGCCTAACTGACATAAGCCTAACGAAACAGGCCTAACTAACATAGGCCTAACCAAAATAGGCGTAACCAAACAGGCCTAACCGATACAGACTCAACTAAAACAGGCCTAATTACAATAGGCCTAACTAAGATAGGCCTAACTAACATAGGCCTAACCAAAATAGACCTCACTAAAACAGGCCGAACCAAAATAGGCCGAACACTAATAGGCCTGACTGAAATTCGCCGAACTAAAGTGAGCCTAAATAAAATGGGCCTAACAAAAATAGGCCTGACTAAAATAGGCCTAACCAAAATAGGTATAACTAAAGTAGGCCCAACTAAAACAGGTCCAAATAAAATGATCCTAATTAAAACAGGCCAAACTAAAATAGGCCCAACTAACCAGGGCTAACCAACATAGTCCCAGCTAACCAGGGCTAACCAGGGCTAACCAAAGTAAGCCTAATTAAAATAGGCCTGACTAAAATAGGCCGCACTAAAATAGGCCGAACCAAAATAGGCCCAACTAAAATAAGCCGAACTGAAATAAGCTCAACTAAAATAGGCGCGGGAGACACAGATTCGTCTCGCAACGGCCGATTCGATGCCGAATCTGCGTCTCCCGCGTCCCCTCCTGCGCTCCCCCTGTTGGCGGGGGGCCCCTAGGCGCAGGAGACGCAAAGTCGTCGCGCAATGGCCGATTCCATGCCGAATCTGCATCCCCCGCGCTCTCTCCGGCGCTGCGCTATTTCCCACCCCCCCACCCCCGCGATTGAGCGCCGAATCGCGGGAGACGCAGATTCAGCACGCAATGGCCGATTCCATGCCGAATCTGCGTCTCCCGCGCTCCCTCCGGCGCTTCCCCCGTCGATTGGGAGCCCCAGGGCGCGGGAGACACAGATTCGGCACGCGATGGCCGATTCCATGCCGAATCTGTGTCTCTCGCGCCCCCTCCCGCGCTTCCCCCATTGGTTGAGGGCACCGAAGCGCGGGAGACGCAGATTCGGAACGCGATGGCCGATTGCGTGCCGAATCTGCGCTTCCCGCGCCCCAGGGCACCCGACCAGCGGGAGAAGTGCGGGAGGGAAGGCGGGAAACGCAGATTCGGCATGGAATCGGCCATTGCGCGCCGAATCTGCGTCTCCCGCGCTTCGGCGCCCCCAACCTACGGGGGGGAGCGCGGGAGGGAGCGCGGGAGACGCAGATTGCTTTCTATCTCTCTCTTTCGCTCTTGTATGCTCTCCTCTCTCTTCCTGCTGTCCCCTCTCTTCCTGCGTGTACACATGATTATGCTTGTGTATGGTTGGTTTTGGGTTTGTGAAATTTCAGTTGTTGTTTGTGTAATGCCAACTGTTGTTGTATGAGTACGCTCTACTTCTGGAGGGGGAGGAGGAGGAGGAGGAGGAGGAGGAGGAGGAGGAGGAGGACCTGAGTATACCTAAGATACATCATCGATGTTGCAACACACCCTGCCGTCTCAAGGTTCCTCCCTATTAGTCCCCTCAAACAATGATATGTATCATGGGAGGCGCTCGAGCATCTATACTTGTATATACATATTTATATATATATATATACACACAAGACTGCAGTGGCGCTTCGCGCCATGCACCTTGGTCCTGGAAATGTTGCATGCAGGCGGAATGGCAGGAAGGTCAAGCCGACAAATTAGCGATAACTCCTTGTTGCCTTTTCTGGCATCGCCGTTATAATAATGTTTTTCGTGTTCCTTACTCCATGTTTATGTTTCCTCATTCTCGCCATACCCTGCGCATTCTCCCCATCCTCCTCAGCTCTCTTTGCGGAGGTTCCTCCTTGGAGAGCCTCTGGGGGCCTCACTCAAGTTTTTCCCAACCATCCTGTGGTGTTGGGTCCTCGTTTTGAAGAGACAACGCCCCGCGTCTCCTCTCCTCTCCTCTCCTCTCATCTCCTCCTCCTCCTCTCCCCCCTCCTCCCTCCTCCCATCGCCGTCATCATACTCATCGTCATCATCATCATCATCATCATCCTCATCTTCATCATCATCCTCGTCATCATCACCACCAGCATCATCATCGTCATCATCATCGCCATCGCCATCAGTTCCCAACCATCCTGTCATCATCACCACCAGCATCATCATCGTCATCACCACCAGCATCATCATCGTCATCATCATCATCATCATCATCATCATCATCATCATCATCATCATCATCGCCATCGCCATTAGTTCCCATTTCCGCACACCCCTCACACGTTTCGTGGCCCCATAGGGAGCTCCACCGAAGGCCCCAGTGGCAGGGTTCGCATGCCGCCCCCACCCCACTTTGGCACACCCCTCACACGTTTCGTGGCCCCATAGGTAGCTCCACCGAAGGCCCCAGTGGCAGGGTTCGCATGCCGCCCCCACCCCACTTTGGCACACCCCTCACACGTTTCGTGGCCCCATAGGTAGCTCCACCGAAGGCCCCAGTGGCAGGGTTCGCATGCCGCCCCCACCTCACTTTGGCACACCCCTCACACGTTTCGTGGCCCCACAGGGAGCTCCACCGACGGCCCCAGTGGCAGGGTTCGCATGCCGCCCCCACCCCACTTTGGCACACCCCTCACGCATTTCGTGGCCCCATAGGTAGCTCCACCGAAGGCCCCAGTGGCAGGGTTCGCATGCCGCCCCCACCTCACTTTGGCACACCCCTCACGCGTTTCGTGGCCCCATAGGTAGCTCCACCGAAGGCCCCAGTGGCAGGGTTCGCATGCCGCCCCCGCCCCACTTTGGCACACCCCTCACACGTTTCGTGGCCTCATAGGGAGCTCCACCGAAGGCCCCAGTGGCAGGGTTCGCATGCCGCCCCCATCTCACTTTGGCACACCCCTCACACGTTTCGTGGCCCCATAGGGAGCTCCACCGACGGCCCCAGTGGCAGGGTTCGCATGCCGCCCCCACCCCACTTTGGCACACCCCTCACGCATTTCGTGGCCCCATAGGGTGCTCTACCGAAGGCCCCCGTGGCAGGGTTCGCATGCCGCCCCCACCCACTTTTGCACACCCCTCACACGTTTCGTGGCCCCATTGGGAGTTCCACCGACGGCCCCAGTGGCAGGGTTTGCATGCGTCCGCGCCACCCATGTCGACACACCCTTGACACGTTTCGTGGCCCCATAATGAGCTCCACCGAAGGCCCCAGTGGCAGAGTTGGCATGCCGCCCCTCGCCCATTTCGGCCCACCCCTCACACGTTTCGTGGCCCCATAGGGAGCTCCACCGAAGGGGCCCCAGTGGTTGCGTTCGCATGCGTCCCCCACCCATTTCGGCACACCCCTCATACGTTTCGTGGCCCCATAGGGAGCTCCACCGAAGGCCCCAGTGGCTCCCCACCACCCATTTCGGC